GACAAGGACAAAGCCAACGCAGTGCAGCCGTCCACATGGGCTGTGAGAGTGGGGAAGGTGGAGGGTGGATGCGGATTGAGGTGTGGCTTTGCTTGGCTATTTAACACTCTAGGGTTTAATTTTCTGACGTTGAGGACGAAGGGTTAGAACTTTAAAGTCCTTTCTGCATCTCACATTCCATGTCTGGATAGCAGTTTTTGCATAGAAAGCTTTTACCCATAGATTGACAACCTTCAAATGTGGTACTTTTCAGCACTTTCCTATACATGTTGAAAGGCATTTTAAAATTTTTATGGGAATTATAAAAGCACATTGGTGGATTTCCTCAGTCCCTATAGCCAGCACCCCCAAGGCAGATTCAGAGCAATTCGGGATAACTGCAGTCTTCTTCCTGTCTTCCCCATGAAGGGAGGAGCTGGGAACATTTGTTAGAAGAGAAGCCAAAGGATAGATCCCCTGGGGTTCTCTCCAGCACCAAAGGCCCTGCCTGGGGTCACCCTGAAGTAGCAGCCGGCAGCTGAGAGAGTCCGGCTGCTCCTCCCTGCCTGAGGACTTTGTAGGCAGCCCACACCCATCTGCTCCTCAGACCTTTGGTGGCCCACGTTGGCTCCAGTAAGCCCTGAGTCTTAGCCCCATCCAGGCCCAGTGAATCCTATTAACACCTGGCTGGCTACTTTGAGGTCTTCTGAGGCTGAGTAATCCTCCACACATCCCGGCAGCACTTGCAGGTTTCTTCGTGACCCACACAGACTCCTGCACCCTTAGGAAATCTCCTTGAGTCTGGGCAAATTCCCCTAGGTGCGGCTTCCCCAGCCCTGAGGTTAGGCATCACCCAGGAAGGAAGGGAAAGCAAGGCCTCCGTCAGGTGGCTCTGGTGAAGAAGCAACATGAAAGAATTTCTTCTGAGGCTGGAAATACCTTGTCCCAAGGAAGAGATGAAACTCACTTCTCTCCACTTCAGTTCTTGAGCTTTGTATTTACTGCAAATGAGGTTTGATGTGTAAATTATACCTCCCGGGAGTTGCTGTCTTTGAAAGCTGTGTGAAGACAGAAATAGTTTTGTTCCACACAGCATGTTTGGGTACTTGCTCTGCTCTTCAACCCGTTCTCTCTTGATTTCTGAGAGCAAAGAGAACAAACAAGAGTGAGAGGAGAGCTCACCGAAGGTATTTACGAGAAGGCTGGAGGCTTTGGGGCGATTTTTAGTTTTCATTTTCCTGTCTTTGTTTTCTGGTTTTGTGTAAATGAGCACATTTGTTTAAGAAGAGCAACAAAGCTATTTTCTCTTTAGAAAAGATACCAAGATTTTAAGAACCATGCTTAGAAACCACTTTTGATTCACTGACACACTGACCCTTTTGTTCAGTGGGCAAATAATTTTTTCGTAGCATTAAACACTCCTTCCCTAGTGGCACTCCCTCTCTAACCTAATCTAAGAGGTAAGTAGTTAAGCCACTGTGAGAGGGAGGCAGAGAGCCTAGGGTATGGAGTTGACATACAGGAAAATAGAGTGACCTGTTCTTGATTATTTGAAGGCAACCTCTCAAATTCAAACTATATTGTGACTTCGATTTTTACTATAAAACCAGGGATACACATATAAAGGGGGAACCCTCAAGATATGATAAAATGACTCAAGAATGCAGCAAGACTTTTAATTACATATTTCAAAAGAAATAAAAACACTTTTCATGGACTTCCAATATTTGACAGATGTTTAAAGGATATACATTTTGTGCCTACATTTTTGTTTCACATAATAAAAGTCTAAAGGAAAAAAATAGCATTAGACTCATCAAATTGATTGCAAAACTCTCAAACAACCTGCAAAATCCTTCAGTTTTACTCAAACTGCCTGTCAAAATTTCTACCTAGAAAACAAATATTGACCTTAGACCTCGTACTTCTAGAGCTTGGTGGCATTTTTAGCTTATTGACAGAAATGAAGTAAGTTAGCAAGTACTGCCTTCAAGCTTCCTCTGTAGTCTTGGAATGGCAAACACTGGTCCCTGCCTTCTAGGAGTTGCTTTCCAGTAGGTCAGAAATGAGCACATAGTTCATTTGTGGGAAACACAATTTAAAACAATTATTAGCATCAATTTAAACTATAGCAATAAATAAAAACACATATCAAGCAAGAACCACTGAAAAACACTCTGAAGAAGCTTAAATGTACGTAATAGTAGTGTCAGGGGAGTATTGGTTGAATCTGTTCCCTGATGTATAAATGCTGTGAAAAAATGAGCGTCTCATTTGGCCTCAGTTTACACCCATGGTTCTTCCTCTAGTATTCAAGAATCCCAAAATGTCTTTTGTAAGTAACCAGTAAACTGACCCACCAAAACTGTGGGGATTTCAAGTGGATACTTTAATATCCTGGTAGACAATACTCTTTTTGGGTAGTGGTACTTGGAATTGAACCCAGGGCCTCTGCACTGAGCTACATCCCTAGCTCTTTTTTTATTTTCTAATCTTGGGTCAGGGTCTTGATGTTACCCAGGCTGGGCTCAAATTTGTGATCCTGGTGCCTCAGCCTCCCAGAGTGCTGGGATTATGGTGTGTACCACCATGCCTGGCTAGGTGATTACAGTTTAACTCTTACCTTAGCTTCACGCTTATCTCAGAATCTGTCTCTGTAGGAGAATGGAATTCCAAACCCCAGGGACTTCCAAACCTCTTAGATCTCACCCACAATGGTTAACCTTGTGGAATCATAAGGGAAGCAAAATGTGTGCGAGATTTCAGATGATCCTGAGCCAGTGGGCTGGACAGAGCCAGGAGAACCTAACGGCAAGTGTTTTACCAGCCCACCTCAGGCAGATTGGGGTCTCTCATTGCTAAGAAACAAGCCCCTCTCATTCAGTACACTTTATACTTCGTAACAATCCAGCTGTTAAAAATTCCCACTGAAACACGAGCCACAAAAAATATAACAGAGAACAAAATATCTCTGCATTGTCGTAATTGTTTTGGGAGCCAACAAAAAGTCTACAAAATCCAGCGGTAGCACCTCTGTTCACAGGGTGTGTGTGTGTGTGTGTGTGTGTGTGTGAAATCTGCAGGAAATCACTTCACAAAGCACCTTTTTTGGCAGGTTTTAGAATACTGCTTATGTTTTTCCTGCCCTTAGGGGCCTCTGGGAGAACATTTTCTACTTAAATTGACTCTCGCTTTCAGGTGTGTCTTCACACGCCCTGTTGCTGCCTGTGCTTCTCCACACAGACTTGCAGATCCTGGTAAGTCTCGCTGGTGTCTCCCTGGCCAGTTGGCATTTTATGGATTAAGTGACAGTCTCGGCAATTTCAGGATTTGTTAGTTATGCAGGGAATCGGCATTAGGTTAAAAAAAAAATAGAGTACAGTAGACCACAGTTTCCAGAGCACAAGGCCAGATGCACGGGAAAATTGATGCCAACTGCATAGCTAAGTCCGCCGTGGAATTGTGCCTTCCTCTACCTTGAGAGAAGCTTCAACTGATGTAGGGCTGAAAGGCACAATTCTTAATTGTGTATCTGGTAAATACTTATTGTTGCTACAGAAATACAACTTAGAATCAATTTCAGAAAGGCCTGAATTCTTTGGAGTTATCCATAGTTTCAAAATACTTTTATTAATACCCTAGATATGTATACTGTATTCAGTTTTAAGAAAAATGTCATGTCTGCTGTAATTGAAAGAAAAGTAAATTTCATAGCTCTGCATTCCTCATTGTAGTGCAACTTAGGCAAAAAAAAAGTTGAAATATCCAATGATTCTTGATGTAATATGAAAAAGGTATTGTACAAAAAAGAGGGAATTAAACATAAGATTTCTATGGGAATCCTTACTTTAGATGTGTAAGGTTACGGCTGAAAGCGTTCCAGAGAATATCTGAAGGACTCATCGTTACTGTATGTCTTGGTCACTTTTCTCTTCCTGCTGAGACAAAATACCTGACACCTGAAGTTAAAGGAGCAAAGGGTTTATTCAGCACACAGTCTGTAGAGGTTTCAGTCCATAATCAATCAGCTGGCTCGAAGGAAGGGTGGCATCACAGAGGAAAAACAGTTTACGGCGGGCAGAAGGTAGCAAAGCAACGAGGGATGAACGCAGCCCTTTCTGTCCCTTACATCTTATCCAGGCTTCTTAGTGTGGGCAGCACTCACACCCTTAACCCTAGTGCCCTGGAGCCTAGCACTGCACCATGGATCAATCCCAGCATCGCACACCCTAGGTCCGGACACCTCTGAAAAAGCCCCACCTATGAGCCCTGCGGCTTTGCGGGCCATCTAGACAGAGCCGTAACATTGTGATTCCCTACATGCTGCATGTTGCTGCACAGTCTGAGGAGGAGATGAAGAGCAGTGAAATGCTTGCCTTTCCTGGGGAGAGGCCTCCTTCCCACACAACTTCCCCCTGCGGGTCAAGGAGCCAGACAGTGTGGCATTACATGCCCTCCTGTCCTCATCTGTTTCATTCAAACTGTTTTAACAACAAAGAAGGGAAACACAGACAAGATATTGGACAGGATGCAGCCTTCAAGTGAGCTGATGAGACAGTGTCAGTGAACAGTTAATTACAAGGCCAAACAGTTATTGTCAATTCAGTGTGTTTATTTAGATACCTGAGGTGTCATCTGGCAGCATTCACTCAACACTGACCAGAATGCATTCACTGCCTTTGGAAACACATTTTACCCACTTTGCATGCAAAGAAGGGTCAATAATGATTATTAACGCCAATTACTTTTACGTATTTCTTTAGAAATAACAAATTTAGCAAGAAAATGTCACATGGGGTTTCACAGTTGTCAGCTCCGGTAAACAACCAGAAAAGCAACCCCAGTGAGTCTACAGCTCAGTGAAGGCAGTATGGATGGGGTCGCCACACACTGGGCTCTAGGCACAGCTGTGAGTTGTAAAGCCGGGGTGGGTGGTTTCAGATGATGGAACTTTTAGAAGTTGCCAGACCTACTGTAACATTCCTGTAGTTCACAGCTTAACTCACGTACAATGGGAAACAGAAAACCAGAGCCTAGAGGTGAGTGGGTTTGGGAAATGCAGGGTGGGAGGACAAGGCCCATGGCTAAGGGCCCTGAAGCCTTTTGCAGAGTTTCTTACAGTAAGTACCATTGATGTTTTGGGCTAGACAATTCTCTGTTGTGAGGACAGGGACTGCCCTGTTTATTACAAGGCATTTATTTAGCAGCATCCATGGCCTCTCCCCTTTGGTGCCTAGAGCTTTTCTGTCTCATTCTGTGATAGCCCAAAATGCCTGCAGACATTGCCCATTGCCTGCGCTCACCCCAAAGCCAGAGTTGGCTCTGTGGTGTCCAACTGGTGGACAGACCAGCCAGGCCACACAGATGCACCCACTGTAGAGGAGAATCTCCCAGAGGATGAGCCACCAGGGTGGACCTAGAGGTCTAGTAGTTCTCAAGCAAGAGTGTTCATCAGATTAAAGGGGAAAGCGTACGAAACTCCGGAAAGCTGGGCCCCATGTGCAGAGCTTCTGAGGCAGTAGGTCCTGGGCTGGGCCTGATGACATTTCCAGCAAGTGCTGAGTCTCTGCTGCGGGTCTTGTAAGTAGTCACAAGACAGAAGAAATTTCCCAGAACAGAAGAGGATTGGCTTTGTCCAAGGCAGAAGAGAATTCCCAGGAGCTGGGGATTTTCAGTACTAAAACCAGGAAAGGCCTAGCAGACCCAGGTGAATTTGTTCCTTCATTAAGCCCAAGGACCACCCCTTGAGAGCCTTGGTTTAAGAAGATAAGATCAAAGTGGCCTAATAAGGATTTAGATTTGAAGGGTTAGAGATGGAGTAATCAAAGGTGGTCCTCAAGTTTTTAGCTGAGCAAGTTGGGTCATGGTAATGCAGCCCACTCGTCTCAAAGTTTGCTGGTCACTGGAGTCATCTTAGATATTTAAAAATACAGCAGGAGCCCACCCCAGGCATCTGATTTAACTGTTAAGCAACATGACCTGGCAGGACGTCTGAGCTCCCCAGGTGTTTCTGGTGTTCAGACCAACGCCTGGAAACCTGCGGGCCACACCCTTCACTTAAAATGGAATCCAGGAGTGGGAAGTGGTGGGGCAAATTACTTTTAGGTGTTCCTGTGCCTTCTGTAGGTCTCACTCACCTGGGCTACCCTGGAGACTCCTCTGAGGAGCGTTTTAAACACAGACCTTTGGGTTCCACCCCCAAGATAGTCTGATTTCATAGTTGAGTTGGGCCTGAACATTGCTAGTTTAAAACTCTCTCCTGGTACATATGATGGACTATTATTCTGCCTTAAAAGGAAGGAGATTCAGGCACATGCTACAACATGGGTAAATCTCAAGGGCATTATACTAAGAGAAATAAGCCAGTCACAGAAGGATGAATACTGCAAGATGCCACTTACCTTGGCTACTAAACAGCGGTCCAAGCATAAAGACAGAAAACAAAACGGTGGTTGCCAGAAACGGGGAGGGAATAGGAGGACTTCATCAATGGAGTTTCAGTTTTGCAAGAAGAGGAGACTTGCAGAGATCAACCGCAGAATGTAAGTGGACCTAACACTTCTCACCTGCACACTGACGTGGTCAGGATAGTATTTCTCCACAATTTAAATAAATAATAAGTATTCTAAGAGAGAGTCCCCAAAAGAAAACTCATCCCAGGTGATTCGGAGGTGGATGCAGGGCCATGAGCTGCTGGTCTCAGTGCAGGGCTGGGCAGGCAGTGGCATCCACAGGGCAATTCTGCCATGTGTGTCCCCCCTGAGGACCTGGGGATATCTTAGTCAATTACTCCTAAGGGAATGGTGTCCATACCAGCCCAGGTTGGGGACGGTCTTGGTTTGTTCGTGCCCCTCCTTTGGGGGAAGGACATTCTGTAACCTGCCTGATGTATGTCTGGAAGATCATTCTCTGTGCTCTGACCTTTATTATGTTTGGAGATGACTTTCAGATGGACTAAAGATTCCCAGAAGCTCATTTTCGCCACAGAATGAGATGAACTGCTATACTAAGGAAGCTTGTCCCCTGAAATGCTCTGCAAAAGGCATACTGCTTCTTTCGCTCCAAATCTAGGGTTTGGAATTCTACACTCTGCATGGCTCCCACCTGCCACTAGAGGGAGGGTTTAGCTCATGGTCTGCAGTTGACAACAGTCCTCATTTAGAATCTGCCAGGGAATGGATCCCCCACTAGGGGAAAAGAGCGAGGTCGTATTTCCTCTACAGCCCTTTACCTTCAGCCTCCAAGCCTGGGTCATTTCAAGTTTAGGATCAGATCGTACACTAGGCACAGATCAGAAAGAAGGTCACTGAATTCAGGCTCTTCAGAGAGATGTTTTCAAACTTGCCCTTGTTGCCCGTTATTATAAAAAGGAGAACCACATCCACCATCTTTCTGCATTTCTGGGCAGAATGAACCATGCAGGCAGGGTTTCTGCACCAGGTTAGCAGCAGGGTTAGGGATTCAATGTCATCAAAGTATATCCGGGTAACTGCCCCAAGCCACATGGCCTGGCTCTCGGGAACTGGCACCCAGAAGGATCCACGTGGAAAAGCTGCTGTAGTGCTGTGGGCTTCACAGCCATCCTGGGACTCTGCTCTGGCTCTGTGCACGTCTTCCTGGCATTTAGTGTGTGGTCATTAGTCTAGAACTGCAGGCTTTGCTGCCAGGGAGATGCTACAGGAGGAGGCTGTCAAGTGAGTCATTTTCTTATGACATTGGACTTCAGAAACGAGCCCCAGGCTATGTGAAGAATGGGAAGTTTGGCTAAATGCAGGCCTTTCAGAAACACCGGAAGACGACTTCACTGCAGGCTGGCATTTGTGTTTAGGAAGATGCCATTCAAGACAAGCCGACAGGCTGAGAAGAGGCTGAGAAGCAGGATGTGGTGACCCAGCCTGAGTGCTGAGCATGGGATGAGAGGGCTTAGGAATGTGGGACTGCTAAAGTAAACGAGTATTCACGAGGAAATGCCTGAAAGGAGATGTCAAAAATAGGCCATCTGTAAATGCACAAGAAATGTTTTTATACTCACTATTCAAATTTTTTCAAATGATGAAGTAATAATTTTTTGCTGTTAACCTGAAAAAGATTTAAAATTCATACTACTCAATATTAACAAAAAACCAAGTCAACAGTTGTTCCCATAGGCTCTTGTGAGAATATAAACCAGGACGAACTTTGTACATGTGAGTTTGACAGCAACGTCAAATGCTTCGTGCACACGCATGTATGCTCGTGTATCTGCATAGTACACTTGCATTATGCATATGTGCCTTACATATACTCGTGTGTGTCTGTGTGTGCATGTGCTTTAGCCTCCAGTTAATAGCTCCTAGGGAATAAAAATAAGAAACAAAGACTTAGCAGAAATATTTATAATTGTAAAATATAAGAAACCCAGGACACAACAATAAATTAGCTACATGAATTCTGATTCCTGCATTCAGAGGAATATTATGCAGTAACGAAGAACACTGGTGCAGGAGAACCATTTGTCTTCTTTCCCTCAGCCCACTGAGGTGTACATATACTCCAGTCTTGACCAAGCTCCTCACAGCTGTGACATGGGGTAGGAGGGACCTCTCTCCTGAGGGACACAACCATCCCAGCACGGGCGGAGGTGCAGGTTTTCTTTGTAGATGTTCCCAGGTCATCCTGATACTTAGTACTAATCTAAACATCACTAATTAAAAACCTTTATAATGAAAACTACAGTACTCACAGATCAAAGAGGACGTCAGAAAATAAAGACATCTCCTATTTCCACCTAGGCAGAAGCAACCAACTTCCAAAACTGATGCACAGATTTAATGCAGTTCCACTCAAAATGCCAACAGCAATCCTCCCAGAACTATAAAAAGACAGTTCTAAAATTCATGTGGAACCAGAAGAGACCAGAACAGAAAAAGCAATCCTGAGCAACAAGAGCAAAGCAGGAGATCTCATAATTCCAGACTTCAAGTTATCCTGCAAAGCAAAGCTACAGTGATAAAAAGAGCATGGCACTGGCACAAAAAATAGACTTGGATGAGTGGAATAGAATAAAGGACATGGAAACAAACCAAGCACAGAGGACCGCCTGATCTTTGACAAAGGGGCAAAAAATATATGCTAGAGAAAAGGTAGCCTCTTCAGTAAATGGGCTGGGAAAGATTGAAGTGAGACCTGTGTCTCTCCCCATGCACTAAGTAAAATCAAAATGGATCAAAGATCTAAATATTAAAACAGAAACATTTAATCTGCTGGAAGATAAAATAGGTAAAATGCTTGAAGACAGGCGTGTAGACAAAGACTCTCTGAACAGAACCCTAATCGCTCAAGAAATAACATCAATAGTCAATAAATGGGTTTATATCAAATTTAAAAAGCTTGAGCACACCAAAGGAAACAACCAAAAATTTGAAGAGACAACCTACAGAATGGGAAAAAATGCCAGCTACATCTTGATTAAGAGTATCTAGTATATAAAAAAACTCAAAACAATTAGGTAGAGACTTCTCAGAGAAAGTACAAATAGCCAATAAATACCTGAAAAAAGTATTCAACATCACTGACCATTGGAGAAATGCAGATTAAAACAACACAGATTCTATCTTACTCTAGAAATGAAGGCCATCATTCAAGAAAACAAAAGATAACAAATGCTGGAGAGGCTGTTGGTGGAGCCGTCTACATTGTTGGTAAGAATGTCAACTAATCCAACCACTATGAAAATCAGAATGGAGATTCCGCAAAAAAACTACAACTAGAAATTCCATTTAACCCAGTACGTCTCTCAGATATCTTTCCAAAAGAGTGAAAGACATCACGTGACAGTGGTACATTCATACCCATGTTTAAAGTAGCACGATTCAGAATACAGTAAGTAGTTAAATCTTGAAAGCAGCCTAGATGGCCACCAGCACACTAATGGATAAAGGAAGTGTAGCATTTATACACAGTGGACTCTGCTGTACAACCCTGCTATAACAGAGGATAAATTGCAGTCATTTGTAATGGATGCACAGGAAAATGGATGCACCTTGAATCCATAATGTTGAAGGAAGTAAATCAGACACACAAGCTTAAATGGTCTATGGTCCCTCTTATATGAGAAACTCAGAAATATAGAGAACAAAATAACAAGTAGGTAATAGGGAACAGGAAGATCTTTTCCAAATGGAAAGGGGACCCAGAGGTGGGGGATGTAGAAACAATGACAATGTGTCGTGTCCGTGTACCGACTCCCCACAGTGAATGTGAACGTTATGTGTCATAAACATGTACTGAAAAATTAAATATAAAAATGGATTTGTGGGTACAGAAAGATGTTTGGAATAAATTAATTTGAAGTAGATAACAGTAACCATATGATATCATTTCTGAAAATTATTTACATACCAGGAAAAAGTATAGAAGTACTTTTCTGTGAGGGGTGGTACTACAGACAATATTTTCTTAATTTTGCCCATTTCTCTGAGTGTTCTACTTTTTCTATAATCAGATTGTTAATTGTGCAATTATTTTAGACAAAAATTTCTAAGAATGGGCAAAATGGGTAAAAATAAATAGGTAAAAAATTACACTTCATGTAATTTCCTGTAAATTATTCTGCGATTGCAAAAATAGCAAACATTAATAGCAAACAAATATTTGTTGAATTTCTATACACCTATTTTTTAAAGAACTAGGTGTTGTAGATATTTATGTCTGTAAGGGATAAGAACCATTAGACAAATTTCAGGGCTTTTACAAAATATGTGGTGAGGGCAGTGATTGAGCCAATCAGCAACTGATTTTTATTTTTTAACCTAGCGTAACTGCATGTAATCATTCCTGACAAAAGAATGCAACTTCTTCTGACCCTTGTTTTACACCTTGGTGAGTATTACTTGTCAAGATCTGTTTTCTGCTTGTAATTGTCCTCAAACATATAGCACGGATAGTTTTTACACGTGTCCACTTATTGTTCCTGTGCTGCTATATTTGCAGGGCTAGTCTGCTGAATAATTTTGTGAAACAACTGAAAAATTATACTCGCACATACTTGGTATCTGGGCCCGACTGCTCCTATCACTCCTTCATGACCTGCCGTCAGCAGCAGATAAGCTACTGAGCAGCGTTGAGTAGTTTCAGATTCTCCATTTACAAATTCATGCATTTGTAAATTAATTTTTTAAATTGCTCTACTTTGAATGTAACATAGTTCCCAGTGATGAGGTCTTGTGAATTCTCCACAAGCAAAATTCCCTCTTCCAAATAAGCAGCAGGCTGAAACTAAAAGGCCCAATGTTCCCTGCTTCTGCTGTCTTTAATAAGCTGAGAATAATTTGCATTAATCATAGAGAAGATGTTCCCAACAGTTACCCTATTTGATCCTGGATTTTCAGGGTCTAGGACAGCCCTGCCTTTGATTACTGCATAGTCATTAAATTGTTTCAAACCTTCTCTTCAAAGATGTATGCAACCTCCCTCATCTCACCCCTGAGTTTTCTAATTTCTGAAGCCTGAGAGAATTTCCCAGCTAGGTTTGCTGGAAACGAAGGACAGAGGAAGGATCCAGATGGGTCGCATTCATTTGTGGTTGCTGAAAAGTCCCTGCCTTGGAGAGAGGAGTAGTAGTAGCGACTGCTGAGCCCCAGAGGTCCCAGTTTACACTCGCCCAGCACCCCAAGCTCAGCCCTGGCCTCACAGCCAGAAAGGGTTGTTTTAGTCCGTAGAAGTTTGGGTGCTCTTTTAGAACTAAACCAGTACTGCATTCCAAACCCAAAGAAAGAACCGAGGATCGCTCCAGCTTCTCCCCAGCCTATGCCTAGGATCCCTTTCACCTTGCAAAAAGTCTAAGACACTCCACAGTTCCGGGAGAGCCCTCCTCAATCAGCTCTCTCCTCTCTGAGGGGAAACTCTTCAGAAATTAATTAGTTTGAGCAGAAGGGGCCTCGCTGAAATAAGACTTGGATTCCCAGTCTTTGCCCTGTTTGAAACCAAATCTCCAGTTGCCTGTGGTCAACTTCCCAAGTTGACTGTACCTTGTCTTTGGTGTAGGCATTGTCTGGCTGGTGATTTGAGCATGCGCATTTATATTAGTAGAGTCTGATTACTTTGTCTTGTATTCGGAACAAGGAACCTAAGAGGAAAGAATCATGAAAAGTACGTTGGCCTTCAGGTTTGGGGAACCAGTTACAGAATGCAAATCTTATCTAACACACTTTTGCGGGGTGGGTACGGGAGATTGAACTTGGGACCTCGTGCTTCAGAGGCAACTTCTGAACAAAATCCCCAGCCCTAACACACTTTTTTGTACTTTTCTTATACATGTTATCTACCTAATATGTGTGGGTACATCAGCGTTGATGTGTTTCTATATCCTCTATAACATTCTGAAATAAACTTTATATGAAAATATCTCACATAGTTAAGAAAGTTATAAAAATATGCAAAATTACTACAGAATTTACAAAATGATCCTTCACTTTACAAAAAATTTACTGTACATTTCTCTAAATGAACAGATCTCCTAAAGTCGTTTTCATAATATCCTGTCTTCATGTTTTGTGCTAATTTTGAAGACTGTATTAATATTCTAAAGCTATAAATACCTTTATTCTCTAAAGCAGTTCAAATCTATTGCTCATGTGGTCATCTGGCAGTTGAAAACTTCAGCCTAGGAAAGATATTACTGAGTCTGTGCTAGGCATAAAAGTTAAATTATTCGTGTCTTTAGCAGTTTTGGGTCAATTTCATAGTTGTATTGATAATTACAGAAATGATAGTTCAATTTTTTTATGTCCTGAAATATTTTTTCAGAAAAGTACACACGTGATCAAAACAAGTTTGGCCAAGTCAGGTTATAAAAACACGTTCATTCTCTAACACAAACATACCAGTAAAAGAGTTCAAGATGTGGCTTGTCTAAAAGAATAAATCCCTAGAAGGGAAGTAATCTTAGTTAATCCCCATGTAGGTTCAGCAGAAATGTCATACCCAACCTTGTTTTTAAAAATCTCAGTCTAGTGACGTCCAAACATCTGCAGTTATTTATCTTAGATTCTGGTTCCAGGAAATAAACAATACATGTTTGAGTTGGTGGGTCGATAAAAGGGGAAGTGCACATGAACCAGTTTAGGATCTTTCCTTATACCATGAATACATATAACACCCCCAAAAAGGTATGATGGAGCTAACTTTCCTTATCAATATTTTAAAGAAAGATAAAAAGTATCCATTTAAAGTAACAGTCTTTATAATGATATTAAGGATAGAAGGGTATAATGACATTAAGGATAGTTATAAAACTCATAATCTAAGATGCTTCCTGTCTGATTTTTTAAAAATCACAAAGTAACCAGAATAATAGAATTTTTATGTGAAGAACATATCTATAAGAGAAAGAACATGATTTTTTCCAAAGCCTATTTTCTGGAAGGCCAGATTTAAAAAAAAAAAAAAATTAGATATAAAACTAGCCTGTGAAAAAAAAATATTTTTCTCTTTTTTTTTTTTTTTTT